CCAAGAAGGCGATATATGGTAAAAACAGCTAAAGTCAACGTGTCTCCGAAATGTTTCCAGTTGGTTGAGGCCCCTGAATTCTGGACCGAAAGAGTAATTTGTAGTAAATGGTACAGTGAAAGAGAATGGGGTAAAATGTGTGAGCAAAGTAACGCTCATGAAAACTGGGAGTCTGAACTTGTCTCATCTAACAAAAAAGACTAAACCTTACAACTCATGCATCAGCCTCCTCAAAGCCCCCTCAAAACTTCACAATTATGTTACGACTTCTATCTTGGAACGTTCCAGGCATTATTTCTTCAACATTGTCTGTGTGTTCGTTATTGGAAAAATCAAAATGCCACATTGCCATACTGTCAGAACACAAACTTCGTAAAAATTCTAGAAACGTTAACAACATACACTCTAAGTACTACAGCATAAATTTTGAAGATTGAAAGTGATTGAGAGGATAGTCCCAATTTGCTTCATTGCGGTAAAGGTAGAGTTCCTATCCTTATCAACAAAAATCTACAATTCTCTATAAGGCAAACTCCTTGTGATGCTACTAACAACATTGCTGATATCCAAGTAACATTATCCGATACTGTGCCTCTTTTTCATTTTTGGTGTATATCTACCATCTGTTAATGTACTTGACGAGTATAAGGCGGACATTGACTTTATGCAAGGTTTATATGAACAATATTGTCAGTACGGCAAAGTCTTATTTGCTGGTGACTTCAATGCCAGCCTCCTGAACGTGAGTTCCACGTTAATAACGCAAAATCCAAAAATTTAAGCAATTTTGTCGAGCGATGTGCTCTATGCACTCCCATGATAGACTTCTGCGTTGAAGGGGAACAATTTACCTTCACACCTTCAAGTAATTTAATCTCCACTCTGTCTTCAAAGAAGGATCAATTTCAGTTACATCTGACCATTTACCAGTTTTGTATCTTTCAATCTCAAGGCAAAACTACATTTCCTGGAAAATTCTCGCAGTAAACTCACAGCATGGCATAAGGCCAGTCCTGAAGCCATCGTTAACTATATGCAACATACTGAACAGGAGTTGCACAAGATACTTAAGGACCAAATACGTACAAGTGTAAACATTGAAAACTACTATAAAACAATTAAAGGCATCCTTACTAATTGTAAAGGCATACTTACAAATTGTTTCATTCCGAAATCCCAAATGAATCCATTCACAAAACCTGGCTGAAATAAAGAAGTAAAGGAGCTCCGTGCAAAAGAAAGGACTTTGCGCCGCATATAGGTTTCCGAAAGCAGGCCCAGAGATATGGGTTTTCAATCATACAGGGACTACAAACGTGCCAAACGCAACTTTCGAAATGTCCAAAACTTAGGGTATGATAAATATTTAAAATCTGTTCACCGAGATTTGGAACAAGCAGCGGAAATGGACATACGTTTATTTTGGCGACTCGTTAAACAAAGGCGACCACACTCTTCTAGAATATATCCAGAAATTTGCGACGCCAACGGTAAAACCCACATCAATCCCGACAAATGCTTTTTGCAGAATTTTATGAGGAGATTTACCGTCCATTGGAAGACGATCGTTTTGACAAACACTTTAAATATGTCATCGAGGGTCATTATGCACGCATGAAAACAAGTGCTTCTGAGTCTTCCAGTGAAGATAACATAACACAAAATGATTTTATAAGTGCAGTCTCCTCTTTCAAAACGCGCAAAGCTCCAGGCATTTATGGTGTAAGAAATGAACATATTACGTTTGCTAGCGATCTTATTACAAGATGTCTCTGTAAGCTGTAAATTGCGATTATGACTTTAGGATCTGTTCCCTCTACATGGAAACAAGGACTTATTGTCCCCATATACAAAGGTGGTAATAAACCCAAAAATTCTTGCAACAGCTAGACTTGTCGCTCTTCTGCCTTGTATTTATAAACTTTTTTAAGAAACTTCTGTCAAACGGAACATCACGATCTACCTTAGAAACAAATAATACGTTCCCCAATATACAATAACAAGGTTTCCAAAAGCAACTAGGATGTTTAACTGCTTCATTCAACCTCCATGAAACATTGGACCATAATCTTGAACAAGGCAGCAATACATAATTATATCAGTTTCTTGGACACAAGTAAAGCATTCGATACAGTCTGGAGACAGGAATTGATGTACAAAATCCATAAAATAGTATTAAATGCAGTTTATGGTAGGTTATCGATGACTGTCACTGCAATACTACAAGTGTCGTTATTGTAAACCAGAAACAATCCAGATGGTTTGGTGTCGATTAGGGGTCAGACAAGGTGGCGTCTTGTCAACATTTTTGTATCTTGTTTTTGTTAATGAGCTTTTGGATGAACTAGAACTCCGTAACTCAACATCACTACAATGCTTTCTGGATCCCAAATACGTGAGTCTTACGCTAGCTGACGATGTTTCCTGTATCACTATATCTCCAGCAAATCTCCAGTCCATGATGGGTATAGCTTACGCATGTGTAAGCAAATGGCGTTTTAAAATCCGCATTCTGAAGTTTCGTGCCAAACACAACAGTGCAGCGGATAAACCAAAATGAATACTTCTTGGGAACTTTGCAATACCATACGATCAAAAAAAATTATTTGGGTATTATCATAAACGACAAAGCAAAAACAAAAGACCACATCTTGTTCGCATGCAACAAAGGATGGAAATCGTTCTATGGCTTATCTGACATCGATATCTCGTATGTTAATCCTCTACTATGACTCATCTCTATAAAACGATTGTCCTCTCCTCTGTACTCTGCGGATGTGAATTGCAACAATAACACAAGAGGACTACAAGCATCTAAACACGTGTTCCAACATGGAGTTTGCAAAGTTATTCTTAATCTACCAAAGTTCACTCGATCGGCTATGTGCGAACAACTAATGGATATACTTCCTATATACATGCTGAAATAGACGCAAGAAAGTTATTATTCTTGAAGGCTTTTGTAATATGGACTCTAAGTGTCTCACAAAACATATCTTTAACGCAAAACTCTTTTCCTTCCTGTCACATCTGGTTTCAGATCCGAGAGGTTTTATCTCTGATATTTCTGATATTCTCAGAAAATACAACCTGCATACTCACCTGCTGACCTGGTTGAACACAGGCGTCTTCCCATCTAAAAGCTCAGGACTGGAAAGCTATTATTCGATCGACTTTATATAGCTTTCATATACTCAACAACGAAATGCACGTGTACTAACTGGTCCAGATTTCCAACGCTTCAACTCTATATTAGAGGATAGCAAACCATGTGACATCTGGTCTTACGCAGAAAACACAAGTGATATAAAAAAACTCAAATTTGCTCGCAAACTTATTGTATCCACAAAGTTTTCAAGTGCTTCGACGTGTAACTTGTGCCTTTCTCTATATGACGACATTTTCTGTCATGCAACGCTTTCCTGTGGTGTCCTGTCTGCTTGTCGCAACGAATGGTGGAACTCAGTCATTAACTCTTTTGACATCAGACTTGGAGCAGAACTTTGTGGTCTCTGTGAAAAAGAACTCTTTTTCATTGTCCTTGGGCGGAAACCTGAAACATTTCTAATGGAATCTCAAGAGGGAGACTTTAAAAAAACTGAATTTAAAATTATTAGTTTGTGCTTGTGCGCAGTACTCGCGCATGTAAAGAACTGCGAACGATAACATTGTTCTCCCGCCTACCTCCAAGTCAATTTTCAAAAGTTAACGTATTTGAATGATTTTTCATATTTATAGAGATATTTATATGAATTTTCATAAAACATTACTTCTTTGGGAAAATAAAGAGAGGTAACTCTATAATTTAGGTAAAACTTGTGTTTTTCACTATAGAAATCAACGGAAAACGGAAAATATTTTTAACCCCCCCCCCCCCCTGTGAAACAAAAATTCCTTTTTACAGGTAATATGGACTGTCATTCCACAAATTCATAACAAGCTTTTTTGTGTTTCACGGGGGGGGGGGGGACATATATTTACAGACAAAAAAACTACAAAAATGCTTTTTTTCCCACCAATTTCAAAGGGTTTTACGACTAAAACATTGTATTTTATTAATAATATATGTTTAATTTTATACGCGTAAAACATAAGAAAAGATTTAAGGAATATTTATTCATATCCAAGAATATTTTAAAATGTGTAGATGCTTGAAAGCCCGATTTCAATGGAAAATATCGTCTACCCCCCTTATTAAAAGAGCTGCAATTAGGGGTAATTAACTATTTAACACTGGCATTAAGATTATCAGTCAATTACCATTAAACTGCATGTCCTTTGCATTCAACAAAGAATTTGCGGCCAAATTGCCAGTGGTATTGAATTAAATCGGTGTAAAATGTAGGCGAGAATTGAGAGTTAGCTTGTGTATAGTTCTTTAATTGTTGCATGGACAATTGTGAGCGACATTGTACATGTAGTTGACATTATATTTGACACTTTATTTTCCTTTTGTTTGTATTAATGCTATATAATATGTACACAATCTAATGCACTACTTTATTCTACCTTAAATCTCTTTATAGAGGAAATAAAAAAAAGATGAATGAGTTTGATATTGCATGTGAAAGGTATCGGGGGAGCAGGGGGTCATCCCCCCCCCACTTTTTTTTTCAAACATAACATTAAACTGTTGAAAATATTCGTTGAAAGACTGGTTGGCCCCCATTTCTGTGCCAAGGACCTAACGCCAAAAAATTGTTTTTCGAAAAACTAAAATGATATATAAAAATAATTGTTTATAAAAATGTAATCTAGTATTTAGTTAATTATTTGATTAATTTGTTTATTAGATTATAATACAATACCATTTGAACTATATAACACGGTGTATTATTATATGAGTATATATATACATTATTTTCTTTTTGCCATTTGAGAACCCTTAATTGGTAACTGGTACAAACAAAGAGTATTGAATTTTGTCTGTTCTAATGATTGAAAGCATCGGGTTCGACATTCTAAATTCTACACAAGCTGATCTGATTTCGCGGGAAAACCAGTCCAGTCGCAGTCATATCAGGCCCACAGAGAAAGCGGTCAAAGGTATTTTTTGTTGTCAACGGTAATTATGTTTTGTTTGGTTTAATAATGAAATGTTTATTTTTCAAAAGATCATTTGCAATGTCAAGGATCATAATGTCGGTAGGAGTGAGTTCGGTCAAACGGAGTGCGGTAACTTGATACCGTCGCGTCACTAATGGATGCGTGCACTGGCACACAGATGGGGGCTAGTGCACAGGTGCTTGAGAACAGGACCCCCCACCCCCCACCCCCCGATACAGACCCCCTGGCCTGTTTGACTTTTTTCTCATAAATTATATATGGCTGACACATTTATGATATAATCTCTATATCATCAATTCGGAAAATTGACTTAAACAAACATTTTATAAAAATTACTTCCCTACCCTATATATAAAAATTAACAAGGTTGCCAACTTCGTCTGCAAACCGAGAGGCACTGCCGAGGAATTTTTGTTGAATTGTCTCATAAATCTATACGTAGCCCTAAAATCAACAACTCATGTCATAGGTTAAATATTCTTTTCATTAACCACCAACTCTCATAAAAGTTTAGGCACTTCAACAGTCATTTCGGCCAATTTTCCACAAGGATGTTAGCGTTTTTAAACTGATCAAAGCTTATTCAACAGAAGTGATGAGGATAGGACTTTCTACCCAAATACGCAGTTCTGCAGAAGGTCTGAAACACTGTTTTGAAATTAGCATTTGAAGAAATTTGGTTGAGATACACTTTAAAAATATATTTCAAATGTATTGGAAGCACAGAGTTCTAAACCACTAATGTAAATGAATTGTTTCTAATTATTTTTCAACTACCTGATTTGCAGGTTTTGTTTTGAGAGTTATGCCCCTTTTAAAAATGCAATTTATGTAAATACCTTCTTTTCTCTAGATATTTCGCATAAAATCTAGAAAATGTTAGAAAAAATATTCCTTGATTAAAAATTCATACAAAAAACAACAATGTGTCCAGTGTTTATACCTTGCACTCATATTTGGTTATATGGAGGAAATGGGTAATAGTCCTCTCCTCATTACTTCCGTTGAATAAGCTTTAACGAAGTTGGCAACCTTGTTGATTTATATATAGAGAGTGGGGTAGATTTGATAAAATGTTTGTTTTAGGTAATTTTTCCAATTGTTGGTATAGATTATATCACAAATATGTCATTGAAAGATAATTAATGAGTCAGAAAAAAAAAGTCGAAAAGGCCCGGGGGTCTATATCGGGGGGGGGGGGGGGGTTCCTGTACTCAAGCACCTGTGGGCTAGTGTAGAAAAAATACAATAGGAACGTTATATTTCGGAGTGAAAATAGTCGAGGTACTACCTTTTCTGAACGGATTTTGTTCTACACAAGCCTCTTTGCAGAAATCAGGTAAAACTTTCCATTTTTAAATTCTTTGTATTTGATTTTCTTCAAGAATTGTTATTCCAAACAATCTCCCGAAACAGAGTCATCCGAGTAGGAAATTGAGCGCGCATGCACAGAAATAATTTTAATTTCAAAAATCATAGTTATCTGATTATACAAATATTGCTCCTGCAGAGTGATAGAGAGTCTGGGAATCAAGTAGGGGTGAAACGATACACCTCCTTCACGGTTCGATACCTATTGTATAATTTTGTCTCGGTTCGGTTATTTTCGATACGATACATTTTGATAGAAAGAAACAAATTCAACGTTGTTTTATGCTTTCTTTTTCTAAATCTAGTCACATATTTTACGAATTTTATTTGCAAATTGACTTGAAGAAATTGATTTAAACTATTTGACTGTCAAAAATTATTTTACAAGCTATCAGTCATCAAAAATTTACGTTTTCTATACTTATTTATACTCATAATACTGAGTAACGTGTTTTACCTTATGCCATGCCCGACTGAATAACGATCCCGACCGAAAAATGAACCAAACCGAAAATTAGAGATTTTGCACCGTGCATCAAACCGAGAAAAAAATACCGCGGTGAATCGATACCGCGGTGAACCGTTTCACTCCTAGAATCAAGTCAGTACTCTGAAATGCTAAATAAGAGTTTTTAGAAGAGATTCTTCTGTCAGATTTTAGAGGCTATAAAAAATACTGTCATTGACATTTTAAGCCAGATTAGTTACAGTAAACAGTCAGGGGTGAGACTGAAATCCTTCATTTTTAAAATGACGATTTTTAGTCATAAAAAATTTTTTTATTATGACTTAAACTTGTCATTTTTAAGAAATTGGCGAAAAACATGATGTTTCTAGAATACCGAGTTGCCTCTCTTTGAAAAATGTTAGATCCACCAACCGAAAAAAGGACAAAAAACATCGTAAACAAACTTCATTCCTCTAAGACAGTTGACTACTGGTTATGTTGACAGTACAAATTTCTCAAGCAAAAATAAGAGTGGAAGAGTTATTTGTCATTATTTGCATTAAATAGGAAAGAAGACAAAAATGACGATATTCCGTCTTTTTTTCAAAATGGAGGGTCGCAGCACACTGAAATATCTTTCTTGTTTTATGGGGTGCACTACTTTTTTTTGGCTTTAACTCTTTGTCGAGACTTTTCTCTACAAGTACATATTCTTGCAGACGGTGTACTAGATGTTTTTATAGGGCTAAAAAAGCCATGTAAAAATGGTGAGTTAGTTCTACCAAAATTCAACATTTTACCGCTAAATAATAACTTTCACCTTCCATGTTGATGTTCTAACGCACATGGTCGGCAGTGAAAAGTGATCTGGATGAAATGAAACTTGTGTAAACACTCTTCTTTCAGCGGTGAATTCAAATTTCGCTTTTATGTAACCAGGATAGAAGAATTAAGTTGAAAAAGAAAAAATGACGATAATAAGTCATTTTGACAAAAATGACAAAAATACGTAGTTAGTAAATATGACAATTATCCATCATTTTTCAGAAATGACTGTTTCAGTCTCACCCCGACTGGTAAAAATGATAGTTTTAAGAGTAAATAAGTGTAATTTCAAAATGGGAAAATGTATATTGTAAAGTGTTCTGTCAAACACATAGCTAAATTTTACTAATTAATGTCATTTTGGATTTTTATTTGAAGACATGTGAATTGAAGTTAAGCATAGGTTCTTGTCATCATTTTTTTTTTCAAATTGTTTGTCACATATACCACATGCAGGTACTTAATTGTGTCTGTAATTCATTTTTTACCCATTAGAATAATAATAATATACAGTATCTAACTCTGAATTACATGGAGTGCCCCATTCCCTAGAATTGCTGTTAGTTGCACTTTCGGAGAAAAATTCACTGGCAAACCGTTTATTATTACCATTCTCTTCCAAAAATTTTATTTGCACAACTATACAAGTATGCCATCCCTGTCTTTATTTTAACTCCATTTACTCTGTCTAAACATTACTTTCACTGACTAGAAAATTCATCTCACAACATGAAGTGTTAATGTCCTAGTTCATATTTGGACAGAATTTTGATTAGCTAACAATCTGTTTCTAAAATAACATTAAAATTTTTAAAAATATTGCAATCTTTATAAAGAAAATAAAATGTAATAAATTTTATTGTTATATATAACCTTTACGGATGTGCAATTTCATCAGTATACCGCTGTATCGTGATTTTGTATTGTGTGATATGTATCGTGATACAGAGACTGAAATACCAGTAATATACATGTAATTAATAAATTATAAATTCCGGGAAATAATTAATTTTTTTGTTCAAACTCTAAACTACAATTACAGGAATTGTAAAAAATATTCAGGGGTTGAAATATACGGTAGCCCGACGCCCGGGGCTAGTCATTTTAAGACTCGGGCTAGCTAATTTAAATGTAACGATAGTCCGTCAGACTAGCAGAACAGAAAAAAAATTTTCGTCAGTTTACTTTTGCTTACCTATGTAGATTGGTTTCTTTTGACTGAGAGCTAGTTTGATTTGTTGCTGTCACCAAAGCGTTTGGAAATTTAACTTGTTATGTTTTCATTTTGCATAAAAAATTGTTGGGCTAGTTAGATTGAGGTTTGGGCTAGTAATTTTTTACTGATCAGTAGCCCCTGGGCTAGTGGGTTTTCCAGGGAAATTTCAACCCCTGAATATTGTAAAATGATAAAACAACAATATCCTAGCATCAAAACATGCTTTATTAATATATAAATAACCATAGTCTCTGTCAAGACTGTACCTGTACTGGTTTGTACTTATAAAAAAGGAAGAGAAAAGCAGCACATTAACTTGAAACTTTGCAACAGCAATAAATAGAATAATGATCCTTGATTTAGTCTCTTTTTGTGGCAAGATTGCAATCAGACTAGAACTGTAGAAGTAGTAGCCTTTTAAAAAGAATTTTACAGAAATTTCAATTTTAGTAACCATGGAAACATCATTCATCAAAATCAAAAAACGATAAAGACAATTATATATTTCAGTGTAGTCTACTTGATCGATTGCAAAATTATATTGAAATCAGACCAAACTGTATGAGGTGTAGCATTTTGAAAGTATTTCACAGAAATTTCTATTTTTAGTAGCCATGGCAACACCTTTCATTGAAATTAAAAACCAATTTGTAGAATTGTGTATCTTAGTGTAGTTTACTTGTGTGCCAAGTTATACTGAAATCGGACCAAAACTGTAAGAGGAGTAGCGTTTTGAAAGTATTTGACAAAAATTTCTATTTTTAGTAACCATGGCAACACCATTCATCGAAATCAAAAACCAATATATAGAATTATGTATTTTTAGTCAGTGTAGTCTACTTGTGTGCCATATTGAAATATATTGAAATCTGACCAAATCTGTAGGAGGAGTAGCATTTTGAAAGTATTTTACAGAAATTTCTATTTTAGTAACCATGGCAACACCGTTCATTGAAATAAAAAACCGATACACAGAATTGTGTATCTTAGTGTTGTCTACTTGTATGCCAAGTTATATTGAAATCTGACCAAAACCGTAATACATGTAGGAGTAGTGTTTTGAATATATTTCACAGAAATTTCTATTTTTAGTAACCATAGTAACACTGTTCATCGAAATCAAAAACTGGTATACACAATTATGTATCTTAGTGTAGTCTACTTGTATGCCAAGTGATATTGAAATCAGTCCAAAACTGTAGGAGGAGTAGCATTTTGAAATATTGTTTACAGACAGACGGACAATGGACACCTTACTATCGCATAAGCTCTTCTGGTCTCTGACCAGTAGAGCTAAAAATGAAAAAAAGTGAAGTTATTTTTCACATTATGTTTGTCAGAAAAATCAAGGAAATTCATTTAAAATCATAGTGAAAATTATGCAAAAAAATATGATTTTATCGTGATACTTTTGGAAAAAATCGTAATATATCATGATACAAAAATTTTGGCAATACCCATCCCTATGTACCTTTAAAAATTGGTTCCTATATAAATCTATACTAAAAAAAATCTAATATTTCCAATGTTTTACTGAGTGGTCATAAAAAATCGATGTTTGACCGCAGAGTGAGATATTAGACTTGTTGATGAAGTATTGGACTGCTTATGTCACAATGTGGGTGGGATCAGCTCAATCTTAGGTGAATTGACAGAGTTTTTCCACAGTGCGGATAAAGAAAATTTTCATCAGGGAAGCCATTGAAAAAATAAATATAGGATCTCCCATGATTTGTAGTTGGATATGATTTTTATCCAACAAGTTGTGTGTTTTTTATCCCCGAGCCTTGGCGAGGGGATAAAAACACACAATGAGTTGGATAAAAGTCATATCCAACTACAAATCATGTGAGATTCTTTTTATCCCATGTTTAATACTTCACAACCAATGTTTTACACTGTTTTATACAGGACTCCACTTTATTTTACTTCATCACTCTAACGCAAAAACCATTGTGACGTCACAACTGCACTTAACTGTGGAATATGAAAAAATTATCCAATGAGTCATATCCACGGGATAAAGGGGTTAACATGGGATAAATAAATATAAGGTATAAAAAAATGTTTATTGACTGTGATCTCAGGGCAAAATGCATTTTGTCAACCCCTCGAACTAAATTGTTTACGTAAGGGTTAATGTACAAGTAGTGCTCCATTCCTTAAAAGTAATGGAGCTGAGGCCCCGAAGGGGCCGTGGCCCATTGCTTTTAAGGAATGGAGCGCTACGAGTATATTAACCCGCGTAAAATCCACCTTTTTAAATGCTTGTTATTATTGTTTGTTAATGTATAATAAAGAATATTGATAAGATACACTGTAAATATACATTCAACATATAAGTAGTATTTATTTACATATAGAGAGAAAGTAAAGTGAAAAAAGTGTACTGGAGTTATTTAAAAAAGCTGTCATTCAACAACTTCGATAGCGTAGTGGGATGAGTACCTGATTCCGAAGGTGAAGATACCGGGTACAATTCTCAACAGTGCCATATTAATTTTTCTTTATGTGAAAATCAGCTTGTTAAATTTTTCTAAGTTCTTTCCTCGATAGAGGTACGGGAAGGAGAATATGAACATGACAAATTCTGTTTTCAATGTAATTTGCAACTCTCCATTCCTGAAAAATAATGGAGCGCTCAAACAAAAGAGTGACGTCACAGGTGGATTTTACCGTAAGTCTAACTGCCTCAGGCAAACAGTTCGGTTCTAGGGTCTGACAAAACCCAGTCAATAAATGTATATTATTCACTGCAGTGTTTAAACATTGGAATGGAATTATATAAGCCCACTAATTTTTAAATTTTGCTTTCTGCCTCAGATTAATACACAGAGCTTCCCTAGCTGCAGATAAGGTAATACATCTTTTTTTCAATATACATGTACTGTTAGTTATGTTGTATGCATTGTCCAGAGAAGGAATTAATGTATAGTAATACTCAATAATTAACATGATTAAATTTTGTGTTGTGAGAATTTTTAAACCTGATGAAAAAAGTGAAATAAAGTAATGCATATTCATCATGTTAATCCATCATTTAAGTTGCTTTTCCATGTCTGTACCAACTGTCTGTCCACAGCCAAAAATAAACATATCAAATACACTTACTACATGGCAAAACTTAAGAAATTGAAGTATTCTGATTTTACATATTGAAATACGTTTATAAACTCCTATACAGAGAACAATCCTCATGGCACAGAACACGTCATCTAGTCACTGGAGAGAACAGGGGAATGGCATTTACATAACAGCTAGGGATAATCTCTGCCCCTCCATCAGAAAGGAACGGCTCAGACAGGCAGCAAACTGTTACTACAAAGCTTATAACTTTAGTACTAATGAAGATGAAAAGGTAATATATCAGAAAAGATTGAGTAATTACCAGTAGGCCAATTAAGCTTCAAAAATTCTTTGTTTGCTATTGCCGACATGGTTTTTTTTTCTTTTCTTTTTTTGAAAAAATTTATTTTAGTTTTCAGGTTTTTGTTGGATAACAAATCATAGGGATTTTCATGGGATTACTAAATGTTAATAATTTCAACTTATTTTAAGCCACTCATCAATAAAAACAAAAATTGAAAAATGAAACAATTTCAATATCCTTGCTGAATACTTGAAACTAAAGAAGAAAAAAAAAGTTGGACACATTTTTATTGGGCCTTTAGGCGACTGCAAACAGACAATTTTCAGTTAAGGCCTTGCATCCAAGTCTTTGTTGTATAAGGCAATATTTCATTGATATACCGTGGTATTGATAATCTGAGATGTATGTCTTCATTAGCTACATAACTTGTATATTTGTCTCTCTCTCTCTCTCTCTCTCTCTCTAATTCCTAAGAATTCCTAATACTAGTACATGTACCTATTAACTTGTGTATTATTGAGTCTTGTTTGAATTGAAATTTGTGATTTGAAATGTATGAAAAAAATGAATTTCGACAGGTGTCTGCTGCTAAGAACCTTGCTATGGTGTCATGGAAGACAGCACGGGTGGATGAGGCATGTTTGGAGAGGTTCTCCTTAATGATTCACCAGTACAAGGAGTCCTTCAAGTATTTCTCCTTTGGTTTTCACCATTCTGTCAACGTCAAGCCAGAGTCCTGGCGCGATGGACTCCTGGCCTCAGCCAAGTCATGCTGGGAGGAGTTAAGGGCGGGGCGAGTCAGCGAGCTTACTATGGAGAACAGGGATCATACTTACCATGATCTCGTCCAGCACATGCAGATACCAGAGATCCAGGCCGAGTGCTACATTGAGCTCACTAACTGTCATTTTCACTGTGGAATCACTGCTATTCAGAACAAGGATTTTAAAAGAGGTACAGATATTTAACATCTTAAGATATGAGTGTAACACATAATATTTACATTTCCAATGTCTTTGTCCGAGATAAAATTACAAATTGTAAAAATACTTTATTTCTACATAAATCTACTGGTTCATCGATAGGCGCGGTTAAAAAAAATCACGTGTGGGGCGGGACAAATAGAGACAGAAGCGGGGCTATTAGCAAGGGAATTTGCAGAATCAGGAGCATGTAAATATAAGGAATAACTGTCAGATTTTTTGGATTCATGACGATGATCAATCGATTGGCTTGCGTGATAATTTTATGCATAAACGCCGAAGGCGTTTATGCAAATTATCATGCAAGCCAATCGATTGATCACATCATGGTTCCAAAAAATAAGACAGTTTTTCCTTAATTGAATATTACATGATCTAGCGTATCATAGCAGCCCAGGGGCTGATAATGGGGCTCAAGGGTTGATATGATTTATGATATGGATTATTTACATATATTTTATTTTCTGATATTTAAAATGTGAGTTTACATAAATTAAAAATAAGTTGTCCATGTACAGTCATTAGACATAGGTATTCATCACTGATGTCATACAACGTAAATGGCTGTAAAAGTTAGGCCTAAAAACATTAATAATTTGGTTCTCATGTCAGTTTTGTCAAAAATAAATGTGGGAGGGAGGCTTTTTTTTCTCTTTTTATCTCGTAAAAAAACAGACGCAAGATTTTTGATTTTTTTTTTTTTAATTTCAAAACTAGCAACTTTAAATCAACAGTGCTTCAACATTGGGTGTAGAAATCAGGATGATTTATTTTCTGCTTCTTTCTCTTGCATTTTTTACATTATGATGATTCGTGTAATGAAATGATGGCATTCTAACAATCAGACGTGTTAAACTTACAGAACCCAGCACTTTTAGTGATGCATCTGGTCAATTGCTTATGTATCACAACTAATCTAAGAGTTTTTCAGCACTATAAATAGTGCTTATGATTTTATTGAACATTATCAATTTATCAGTCTTTGGTTCACCCACGCTAAATGAGATCAGCAAATCTTGCTGAAGCTTTTCTGGAATTGTCCAAGTTTCGAGGTTGAGGAAGCCATCTTTGATAGCATTATTGAGTTTTAGCATGGAACAACCTTCAGAAACCCCCACTATGTGCCATGGAAGTATTACAGTCATTCCCTTAATATGAATTTACACTGAAATCAATGCCGTCATGACCAAACTTAATCTTGACGCCTTAAGCTGCTTAATCAACGGCCATGTTTGTGAATTTTAACTAGGCCAATAGTCAGGATCATCTTGATGTTTGTCAAATGTTTTTCTGATGAAAGTATCTAAAATGTGGTCAAAATGTGGCCAGGGATTCTGGATATTTTTTTGCACTGTACAAGGGCAGGAGAGAAATTTCATTTTATTCCTTTGAGGATGAAAATGGGTAATGCACATTGTTAGATGAGATGACATTAGCGTGTACAATTTTGTCTGTTTATCTCTAGAATTTGTTCAGTAAGATGTACAAATTGTCAACAAAGGAAAACTGAGAACATTCTGGTTGAGATTTAATTAATGGATAAAGTTTTTATTACTAAAATGAATATATCAAATATTGGTAGGTTGTTTGGACTACCAAGGGCAACTATATATATTATGAAAAAATTTAAGTTTTCAGCAACTTTATTGTTTTGATTATTTTAGGATTGTATGAGATGAGGGACTGCTACATGCCCATCAATGAGGCCAAGAGGCTCCAGGGAGATAAAGCTAACCTCCAGGCAGAGGTTCGAATCCTTGAGGAAGATGTCTTCATGCACCAGTGCATGGCTGAATCCTTGCAGGCCATTAGTGTTGGTAATAAATTACTCGTAAACTTATTTCAGAGGGGAATATAAAGAGGCAGATCTTTGATTTAAATCAAAAGAATTGATGAGCTACTACCTGTTGATATCTGATATTTGAGCAGATATCCACTAATGTTTTATAATTGTGAAGTGTACATGTAGCTGTCTGATCTACATGTATTGTACGTATTTGGCAGGTGATCAGTTGTATGGGAAGCTGTTATTGGACGAGGAGGCCCTGAACATGGATATGGTGTATGAAGTGATTGATTGGTACAAACAGGCTGTTGTCCGCACACGTGAGGTTACAGAAGTTGAGATGGAGGCTGTTGCTCTCAGCCGTCTAGGAAGGGTGTACGATAAAATTCTGAAAATCAAGTACAAGGCCAAGGAGTATTTGATGAGGTCCATGCAGTTAGCCCACTCCATGCATCCACGCACTTTTAACTCAGAAGGTCTGTGTTTATTTTAGACTTTTCATCAATATATATATATATATATATATATATATATATATATATATTAATTTTTGTGGGGGTTTAATTTTTGTAGTTTCTGCGGCATGAAGAGACTCGAGAATTTATGTCCTCCACAAAAATGCAAAATTTCTAACAGAGATACTTCCAGTACTACCAAACCAAGTACTCAATACTTCCAAGCCTTGAAATGAAATCCCCACGAACCAATATTCCCCCCCCCCCCAACCACGAAAATTTGACCCCATGAAAATAAGTGATTTTGCAAAAGATGACAATATAAAAAATGATCAAATTACTACAAAAGTGAACCATAGCTAGTCATAGTTGTTCGGTCAGAGATAATGGGGGAAAAAGGCCAAAGATACTTCGCAGCACTGTTAAGGCGTACTTCAAAGAAAAGAACAGAATATAAACGTGCATAAATACATACCTTTTAAAGCTGAATTTATTTTTGTAAGGGTACTATATTATCTTAAGACTTTAACATTCTTTGAAATAACATTGTATACCCCGCTCTGTACTGAGTTTGGTTTGGTCACGTTATTTGATAGTCAAATGATAAATGCATTTAATGTGTACTGTATGTAGGTCACAAACAAATTTCAATATCGCAAGGGCATACCCTAGTTAAAATTAAAAATTAAAGTAATAGATTGTTTCTACAGAACTTGTAGTTTATGGAAAGTGCTGCTGCTTTAAATAGAATTCGCATTTTATTAGTTTAAATTTCAAGTTATCTGGCTAATGTCGAAATATGTGTGACCTTTACCAAGTATTTTACGTAGTTATTAAATTATGCTATCGATTTCAGGAAAGCAGCAGCACTTTTCAAGTTAAGGAATATGTCCGTTATGTGTATTTGAAAAATGGTCAAGAACTATGAAGTGTATGCCCTTGCGAAAAGGCGATTTAATGAGGCACCTCGGCGTGAACCATGCACACCCTGTAGACAAAAACACGGTAGAATTAATTCAATACACTCTCTCGATATTTTTTAAATAATGGCACTAAACAAACGTTTCAGATTTGTGTTAATGGTCTACCTAAGATTTGCAAATAATACTCTGTTTAATAATAAAATGAATTTTTTACTGTGAAAAAATTACTTGATCCGCCTCTCACTGCACATAAAATGCGTCAAACTTTACCATGATGACGTCATGTTGACAAGTGCATTGCGATCAGTGACTTGTTTATATCATGCTGTGTGGGATTTAACTGGTGACAAAAATGAATGCAGTGGTAAGTTTTGATGTAGTTCATTACTCTTATGCAGTTTAGATTCGCAAATTATTTCATTTTCTGTTATTGTAAGGAATTGCTATATTTGTGTGATGTCACAGTAAACTTTTCCCGTATAAATTAGGCCCCGCCCCCTTTATGCAGCCTTAACATAGCTGCGTTAGACATTCCACATTAACCTACACGAAATAGATTTTTTGGCCAGTTGGTCTAAGATCAGAAGGTAGAACTTACTGATACATGTATATTAATGGAGCGTAGGGGAACACCCTTAATTTTTTATCTCTTGGTCAAAAGTAAGGGTCAATGATGAAGACTTCTTTTGACTGTTTTGATGTATTCAACAATTTGTAATGTAAATTCTTCGTATTTACCATACTAGGCCAGCAACGGAAAACATACCCTTGTGAATGCTAATGTGGTAAAAACTCTAATTTGCTCAAATTGCCTAAACCAGAATGGAGATAGGAAACAGACACTATGATTTGCAGATCAAGATGTATATTGCAAATCAAAATGATAAAGATCATCATGTTAATAAATTAAATTTTTATTGGGCAAGAACTTTTAATTTATTACAAAAACTTTTTTTTCTTTTTTTTTTTTTTCAAATTATCATTTTTAGACATTAGGCAAGCTTTTGAAGTTCTTCTATTACCTTTGCAAACAATTATAATTCTTTCCAAAGGATGTGACCACATATCAGAATCTTCAAATTTTTTTCAGACTGGTTCAAAGATTGTGCAGAAATTCTAGAGCGTTACCAGAAAGAGACCGTGTCAGCTGAGGAGGAAAAATGGAACAAGGAACGAGAAGAGATCATAAAGGGCATAGAGAAAGAAATGAAGAACATTGAGAAAGCTGATGACAAGGACAGTCAGGAGTTCCTGCGTTACGTGTACAGAGTCTTCCCTCCAAAGAACAAAGAACACAAGCTAGATGGAAATGTGAAGAAGAAGGGGTCCTATGTTGATCATTGTGCATTGAAGAAAACGCTGCAGAAAGCTATCATCCATTATCACCCAGACAAAGTGGATATGGAGAAACATGGGAAAGTGTGGAAGGTTCTCTCTGAGGAGATCACAAAGAGGCTGACACGGAGATACGAGGCCATGAAGTAAAGGGTCGATGAGAATACCAGAACCAGAGAGATCTGACAAATAAACATACGTGCAAATTATGTAAAATCATATAAAAGTTTCAGAAATCATTCAGTTGTAAACAAAAAAGAAAAGAAACTCACTTCCTTATATTTTGACATATGATGAAAAAATAACAGCAATTGGAAGCACTAAGTATTGAAATTAGACGTTGGGAAATCATCGTATTAAAAATCAGAGTCAGATTTTTTTTTTTCCTTTTATATGTTTTGATGTACAAATTAGATACAAAAAAAGCTTTGAATACCTAAAAGAGACCAATGGCTTTCAGCAGGATTAGTTTCTTCTGATGCCAGCTGTTATTAAACTGAAATATTTCCTTCACTGATAAATGGAAGTCACTGAATACTAGTATAATTATGGTTATTTTGAAGAAACTGATAGACAAATTAATATTCCTTATGTCAAATACTACACCTGGCTCTCGTAAGCATTTCAGATTTTCAATTTATGTCGGTATAAATTGTTTTCTCTTCGCAATAATATTAACAGGTTACTTTTTATGTCTAGCTGTTTTAAATAGATTTTTTTTCTAAAGTTATCTTAGTGTTTACTAATATTAAGCAGAAATTTACCTGTATTTTAGTGCCATGAATTTTTTTTATTATGTTTCACCCTTGTTTGTATTGCATGCATAGTAGTATTTAGCTGTCTAGTCATTGATTAGTCTTTCATAAGTGTTTTAAGGATTAGTGCTGTAATTAGTACTTTTAGTATTAGTGCTTAGTATTTGTATTTGTATCTTCTGGTTTATTATGCTTAGTTGTATCTTCTGGATTATTCATGTTATTATTTGGTTAAAATCAGGTTAGCTTTGGTGAATTTTTTTTAACAGAAATGTTTTCTTACCAAATCTGAAGTTTTCATTTTTCTGTATAAAAAAAGTGATTTTCTCAGCCTCATGTTTCTCTATCATTTTTTAAAAAAATATATTTTCATTAGAATTGGAATCCAAATTTTCAGACAACATTTTCAAAGTTCAATTAATTTATTTGTATTTGTATCTTCTGGTTTATTATGCTTAGTTGTATCTTCTGGATTATTCATGTTATTATTTGGTTAAAATCAGGTTAGCTTTGGTGAATTTTTTTTAACAGAAATGTTTTCTTACCAAATCTGAAGTTTTCATTTTTCTGTTTAAAAAAAGTGATTTTCTCAGCCTCATGTTTCTTTATCATTTTTTTAAAAAAATATATTTTCATTAGAATTGGAATCCAAATTTTCAGACAAAATTTTCAAAGTTCAATTAATTTACTTTGATTATATATAAGCTTAGACAAAGACTTATAAATGTTTTTTTTTTCAGTTTTAGATCCAAATGGGTTTAATTATCTGCAAAAAATATTTGAATATTTATTGTATACCAGTTATTAGTATGCAAGGAATGTTACAATATCTGTATCTGCATATGTTTAAATGAATTCCTTGGTACATTGTGTCATTAGTTTTTGCCTTGTAGAATCAAAAATGTAAAAAAAAAAAAATCTATTTTGTGCAAGTTATTATGAAAACGCAAAGGTTTCTTTATTAAGAATCTCATTAGGTGTATAATCATGCATGCCAAAGAAAGCAATTTATAGAATAAAAAGTTTTGAATCATTTTGACTTTCCATTTTGTAAAGATGGTGTGTAATAAAGATAGGCTCCTCAAAGAAGGTATCAGCCAATACAGTGATTTGAATTAAATGATTCAAATTCATCGGAGAAATTTTGTATGTAATCACCATATTTGTGGAATGTTTTGATTCACTATCTCTTGTAAAATGTGGGTTTGTGCTACCCTGCTTTGGCCATTTATGTGGCTCAAGCAAAATAAACTATATCTAAGGAAGGGATTTCATTTGTATTGGAAATAAAAATGATGTTACCCTTGACAAGGGAGATAATTTGAAAAATATACACAAAGGTAGCAGTTAAATTATAATCCCATCTGATATGAGAGTTTTGTGCTTATCTGCCTACCATATTATGGCCATTTTTGCCATGTGTGCCAGCTGATTGGAAGATAAACCAAACGTTAGAAATGTTTTCATTTGTATTGAAAGTAATTGTAAGGATGTAATCCTTGGTAGTAGTTGCTGAAATTCTTTTGTATGGATGAATCATTTGTCAGATTCAAAAAAAAAAAAAAAAGAATTGGATAAATTCAAGATTTGATCATTTGAATGATATCGGGGGATTTCAAAGTTGACATAAGTGATACTTCGAAAAAAAACCCAGTGAAGTTGGCATACTACAATAGTTAGGATCCTTACAATTTGGTCAGTTGATGCATCCTGAGAATGTAACAACCCCAGAATAGGTCATTGGATTTTTTGGCTTCTCATTTTCAGATTATTTAAAGTGAAAATTTAGGAAAATTTCAGACTTGCGATTAATAATCCTTGTCATTCAAAAAAGTAGCAAACATTTCAATTTAATGATCATCCATTTTGAAATCTTACAAATTATATTTATATATCTTAAACTTTAAAGTCATCATGTTTATCATAAAGCTTTGTTGTTAGGTTACCATTAATGTCTTTTTCTAGCAGAATATCCAAATATGAAACAGATGTCAGGCTTTGTGGTATCTTTTATTTCAAGCTCACTGGGAAATATCAAGTCGACATATTAATGAATGTAACTATTGTTTATTGATAATACGACGTCGACATGAAGGTCACAGCAAGTGTTTTTTTTCTTCTGGTGTAAAGGTTTTTTAGAATAAATTTTGCTTCATATGAATACAAAAATAGGTGTGCTAATAACGGGGCGCAATTGGTATCCATGGAAATTCCAACAGATTGTTGGAAGACCTGATCTCTAAAAACTTCACAGATATTCATTGTTAATCAGAAACTCAAGCATCTTTTTAATGTCAACTTTAGAGTCGACTTGTATGTACAATTGGAATGTTTTTAACAAAATAATTTTGCAAATGTCCAATGACAAGGTAAGTTTATTTACGAGTTACATTTTTATTGAAAAAGCAGCTATGTTTTTAAAAAGCCTGGAAGTTGTGGGGATTCTTGTATGAAGTGTTAGTAAGTCATACGTTTTGATGTTGATTTCGGTAAAAATTTGTGATTTCGAATTTTCTAAAAGTTCCTTGCAGTATCCATATCTGATTAACGACACTGCTGGTAAAAATAGTACATTGTACATATTGAATAAATAAGTTGGCTATAGGAAAGTTTAAGTCATTACTTTATCAAAAACTTTTGATGAGTGTTAACACTAACATCTTTAATTTTCAAGTAAAGTATTCTAATATGAAACAGATGTGTCGGACTGTGGTGTCTCTTTTATTTCGAATTCAAAGGTATACATCGAATCAACCTAGGAATGAAAATGACAATTGTTAATTAATAAAACGGTGTCAATATATCTAAATGTTGAATTGAAGGTTACTGCAAGAGACTTTTTTTCATGTAGAAGTTTACGAATAAATTCTGCTTCAAATGAATACAAGATAGTTCTGCTAAGAACGGTGAAAAAGTTAATGAAAGTCTACTATCTAAATCCACAAAAGGGTCAGGACCTATTTACTAGTGCATGACTTATCTAGTTCCAAAGGAGTGGAGGATAGGAAAGCTGATGTAAAGTACAATTTATTTAGATTAACTATTCATTTTCTATACATTAATTTTTGTGTGAGAAAATTGCTCCAATTCAAAACTAGGTCAAGGAATGACTATTGATGATGGCTGGGGACGAAAAAATGTCCACAGTTTAGCAGTGCACGGGTTGAGGGTATCCCTGAACAATATAATTATGATTATTTGATCAGTTTTGTCAGAGATTACTTGACAGTGAGAATGCTGGTGTTATTTCTAGTGAATATTTTTAATAACACTTTAAGGTATGGATATGTTCCACAAAATATCATTTCATGGTATCATCTTTATGAAATTTGGTGAAATCATGAAAAGGGAACAAAAAGCAAGAGTTGTTTAAATGTAAATAGCCACAAAATAATGCTAAAATAATACATGTGTCCTTGTTCAGAATTAAGTCAAATGACTAGTACAGTACATCGTGACGTCGGTGCTCTTGTGTCTGGACACCTGTGTATCTGTCATCAGCTTCCAGGTATCCAAACGCTCGATTGTCATGAACATTGTAACGCGGCAAACTTCGCTCACTCAATTCAGAAGGATTGTAGTAACTGCCACGTGACCTTGGGTGTCTTCCAGCTGTTTTTCTGTACCCATTAGAGCTTTCAGAGTAAGATGAAGTGCTCTTATCATTTCTCATATATTGTCCTTGTGATCTGAAATACAGACATTGTATAAGCTACATACAAAATCTTGTCTTCTAATAAAAGCTAAAATAGGGGGTATATGTTTTATACTTTTAGACTCAACAAATGTTACTGAAATTTACCATTTTCAGAATCAATTTAATGTTGAGATATTCCTCCGACGTTGTATTTGAATACATCAATCTTTACCATTTTCTACTATCTATCGTTATTCCTTATTCAGAGTAATGTAATCTTCTTGTGTGACAAATAATTGGGAGCTCATATCAATGTTTCTTGTAATCTAGTTTTTAAGGAAAATCTCTGTTTATTCAGAGTGTTGGCATGACTAGAGTTTCATTGAATATTGACTATGTTGATATCAAATAATAACCTCATTTTAAAGCAGATTAACAAGGAAGTGATGAAGACGATGATGATGATAACGACAGTTCCCCCACCAACAGTGTACCACATTACCCTAACCGTGTCATACACCGACTGCAGCATTGCAGCATTCTCCTTTGTTCTACTATACGGTGTTGATGTCATTGTCATTTGATGTGTGGATGGTGGCGTCGTTGTGGTGACTTTTTCACATAAACATTGTTGTTCATGGGTCCATACTCCGTTTATACACGTTCTTGACTGACAGTACCCAATAGGTAAGTAGCCCATACCACACGCGAACCTGGCTATAGCATTCTCCTGTGTGCTGTTGGATATCCAAATCCCGCCCTCAGGAAATTCAAGAACCGGGCACGTGATCACTGAAAATTATAAAGAATCTCTTTCCAGATTAAAAAAGCCACAAATGGATATCAAATTTTGCAGAACCTAGCAAAAAAAAAAATACAATAAATAAAACTATTATATAGAATAACCAGCGGCGAATCAGTATTAAAGGGGGAATTTGTCTAAACAATAGTATTTATTTAAAAAATAATCTAACGCTATGAATGGATGACAAATAGGAAATAAACACCTTTGAGGAAGGAAAATAAAAACCACGATAGAAATGGGAAATTTGTTTGCTAAGAATGAGAGTTATTGGTTAATAGTGAATAATCACACATCTCTCCACATACCTCTCCAATATAATTATCATTTAGCTTTGATGAAAAAGGAAGGACACAGACTTCCTATTTAATCACTAATGACAGCATTTAATTTACACAGGTACATTATATGCAGAATCATCCGATTTTCACCTATAAATCACTGTTCTACCTGGCACAGATGCATCTTCTGCGTCTTGTAGTTCCTCTGTGAAATCAAGAGTAGCTTGAGCGATTTCCAGGGATCCAGTTACGTGGAAATCAAACAAACAGTCTGTGTTGTTGCCACAAAGGGCTCTAGCATTTGGTGTAGCAGAACGAACGACAGATGACAAAAATTCAGGAAAAAAGTTTTTGAGGCCATCGTTATTATAATCCTCGTATGTTTTACCGTTGGGATAGGTGAACAAGGATTCCACACTTGTTATTCTCCCTTTGAAAGAAAGAAAACATCTCAGAGGAAAGCGTTATATTGGAGGGAGATAACTTTGTTTTATATCGATCAGCATCAGCAAAATAAGCATCAGCATCCAGCAAGCACCAGAATCAGCATTTAACTCTCTCTCTCTCCCAGTATAACCAGGATTAGCATCAGCAAGCAAATAACCAACATAAATAGCATTGACCTACTTAAAATGAACATTGTACTACTAGCACATGAAAGTTATTGATTTCATTTCAGTTAAAGAATTGAAAACGGAGAAAGAAAATTGATTTAATAATTCAAGATATAAATATATATAATAATCACATTATTATACAAACATTATTATTGCTTTAAGCCGCAATGCCAATATTCAATTATCTACTTCTGGTAGCATGATGCTACTTTTGCTCGCTGATTTTATGTTAGTAATCCTTATTCTGATGCCTCTCTTCCTTCAGCAAAGGAAGCACCAGGATAAGAATTACTTACATTAAATCAGCAAGCAAAGGACAAAAAAAAATAGCGTCGATGCTGCAACAAAATTAGTTCTCTGCACTGTAGCTTGCAATTTAATCCATTCAATTCTAAATCAATTTCATTACTCACATGCATTTTTAAAAGACATGTAGATTGTTTCCTCTGTTACGTTTGGTTCTAAAACTGAACCATTTGGTAAGAGTAGGTCGTTAGATGGGTTTCCATCGAAGTCTCCCAGAAGTCCACTTATTGTACCTAGTTTACATACAAAGATAGCTTAGATTTACCTTAGACGTAGAGGAAATATGTTAAACATTTATTAAAATATTTATCGACGTTGATATAAGGCCAAAGAACAAGTATCGGGAAATATTAACCAAGCTTCAATCGTTTGGAATTTTCTTGGTTTTTTTTTTTACCTGGATAGAAAGTCTATTCATAATAAAATAGCTTGACACCAATTTCAAAAGTATTACATTCGTGATCTTGTTATTTCAGGGACGTTTTCTCAATTAAACCCGCTACTATTTTCTGCAGAATCACTGTAGACTAGAATTCAATGATTTCACCAACTCTACACTAATTTGAAAATGGCCAAGTTGACTAAATTACATGAAATTGTATTTCATAGACGGGATGACTCTGACTTGCTTTACCCTATTTGAGTGGTGATATTCCCCTATTGGCTGCATACAGTGTTTATAATCCCGAATGATTCAGTCCGCAAGGGTATGTCCTAAGTAAGATCAATGCTTTACCCGAGGCAGGCTACTGATAAATAAATTGATTTTGCAGGACTTTATACAATCTTGCTTAGAGTCAGTATTTCGCAAATTATAGATCGTTATAAGGACTTTGTTTGCAAATACAACCTATGTTGGCTCTTATCTAGATTTAAGGGCTTGACGTTTCGATCCAGTGCTCTATACATTTTTACAAATGAGTAAACATGTACACGAAGATTAATGTGTTATGAATATATTGTTTCAATTAAATTGGAAATACGATTCACACAATTCTGAAACCCAATACAGCCTAACATTTTTATTCTGATCCCAGAGCTGATAGTTATTATAACTTATGAATATTTCACTAGATAAATTTAAAAAGAATGATACCCTCATGATTTTTAACTGTTCAGACATAATTTATCGTATCGATGCTAAATGAAAGTTGTTATCGGTGATTTAACAATGCTATCGTAAAACCTTTGATGCTATGGTATGCTTTCAATGGATTCATTGAATTCACGGGTGTAAGAAAGGTTCTTATTCTTTTTTTGTACACAAATGAAACAAAATTACAAAGTAAATAAATTTTCCATTCAAAGAAAACTCGTAAACTTATTAACTTTTACTATTTAATGAGTTCAAATCCTTAAATTCAGAAAATATGCATGTGCACGCTCTCGTTTAAATTGAACCGTTTCCTTTATTGTTCTACGTTACAGATTTTAGTAAACGTTTCACCAACATGACCAAGGACTGTTGTTTCCTACCAATTAAAAGGTCATTGATTTAATATCATTTTTGACTTAAGATTACCTGTTTACTTAACAAATACAAAGGGCTGACGGTGAGTCTGACCGATCGACAGCCTATACTCCTCCTTAGCACTTGAGCTTTCCTTTTCTGTTTCAAGGGTCTATGTTTTGCCCTGTTCACGATTTGTATTGTACCGATCGACAGCCTATACTCCTCCTTGGCACTTGAGCTTTCCTTTTCTGTTTCAAGGGTCTATGTTTTGCCCTGTTCACGATTTGTATTGTACCGATCGACAGCCTATACTCCTCCTTGGCACTTGAGCTTTCCTTTTCTGTTTCAAGGGTCTATGTTTTGCCCTGTTCACGATTTGTATTGTACCGATCGACAGCCTATACTCCTCCTTGGCACTTGAGCTTTCCTTTTCTGTTTCAAGGGTCTATGTTTTGCCCTGTTCACGATTTGTATTGTACCGATCGACAGCCTATACTCCTCCTTGGCACTTGAGCTTTCCTTTTCTGTTTCAAGGGTCTATGTTTTGCCCTGTTCACGATTTGTATTGTACCGATCGACAGCCTATACTCCTCCTTAGCACTTGAGCTTTCCTTTTCTGTTTCAAGGGTCTATGTTTTGCCCTGTTCACGATTTGTATTGTACCGATCGACAGCCTATACTCCTCCTTAGCACTTGAGCTTTCCTTTTCTGTTTCAAGGGTCTATGTTTTGCCCTGTTCACGATTTGTATTGTACCGATCGACAACCTATACTCCTCCTTAGCACTTGAGCTTTCCTTTTCTGTTTCAAGGGTCTATGTTTTGCCCTGTTCACGATTTGTATTGTACCGATCGACAGCCTATACTCCTCCTTGGCACTTGAACTTTCCTTTTCTGTTTCAAGGGTCTATGTTTTGCCCTGTTCACAATTTGTATTGTACCGATCGACAGCCTATACTCCTCCTTGGCACTTGAGCTTTCCTTTTCTGTTTCAAGGGTCTATGTTTTGCCCTGTTCACGATTTGTATTGTACCGATCGACAGCCTATACTCCTCCTTGGCACTTGAGCTTTCCTTTTCTGTTTCAAGGGTCTATGTTTTGCCCTGTTCACGATTTGTATTGTACCGATCGACAGCCTATACTCCTCCTTGGCACTTGAGCTTTCCTTTTCTGTTTCAAGGGTCTATGTTTTGCTCTGTTCACGATTTGTATTGTACCGATCGACAGCCTATACTCCTCCTTGGCACTTGAGCTTTCCTTTTCTGTTTCAAGGGTCTATGTTTTGCCCTGTTCACGATTTGTATTGTACCGATCGACAGCCTATACTCCTCCTTGGCACTTGAACTTTCCTTTTCTGTTTCAAGGGTCTATGTTTTGCCCTGTTCACAATTTGTATTGTACCGATCGACAGCCTATACTCCTCCTTGGCACTTGAGCTTTCCTTTTCTGTTTCAAGGGTCCTTGTTTGTCCTGTTTATGATTTGTATTGTACCGATCGACAGCCTATACTCCTCCTTAGCACTTGAGCTTTCCTTTTCTGTTTCAAGGGTCTATGTTTTGCCCTGTTCACGATTTGTATTGTACCGATCGACAGCCTATACTCCTCCTTAGCACTTGAGCTTTCCTTTTCTGTTTCAAGGGTCTATGTTTTGCCCTGTTCACGATTTGTATTGTACCGATCGACAGCCTATACTCCTCCTTAGCACTTGAGCTTTCCTTTTCTGTTTCAAGGGTCTATGTTTTGCCCTGTTCACGATTTGTATTGTACCGATCGACAGCCTATACTCCTCCTTGGCACTTGAGCTTTCCTTTTCTGTTTCAAGGGTCTATGTTTTGCCCTGTTCACGATTTGTATTGTACCGATCGACAGCCTATACTCCTCCTTAGCACTTGAGCTTTCCTTTTCTGTTTCAAGGGTCTATGTTTTGCCCTGTTCACGATTTGTATTGTACCGATCGACAGCCTATACTCCTCCTTGGCACTTGAGCTTTCCTTTTCTGTTTCAAGGGTCTATGTTTTGCCCTGTTCACGATTTGTATTGTACCGATCGACAGCCTATACTCCTCCTTGGCACTTGAGCTTTCCTTTTCTGTTTCAAGGGTCTATGTTTTGCCCTGTTCACGATTTGTATTGTACCGATCGACAGCCTATACTCCTCCTTGGCACTTGAGCTTTCCTTTTCTGTTTCAAGGGTCTATGTTTTGCCCTGTTCACGATTTGTATTGTACCGATCGACAGCCTATACTCCTCCTTGGCACTTGAGCTTTCCTTTTCTGTTTCAAGGGTCTATGTTTTGCCCTGTTCACGATTTGTATTGTACCGATCGACAGCCTATACTCCTCCTTGGCACTTGAGCTTTCCTTTTCTGTTTCAAGGGTCATTGTTTGCCCTGTTCACGATTTGTATTGTTAACTAGATTTATGAGACCGATCACTGTTCGTTATCTTCAGCTATTTCATTTAATTCAGAGAGAGAGAGAGAGAAGGATTTAATTTCAGCAAAATATTGTTTAAAACCTTATGAATTATCTTTTTTTTTTCATTTATCATGTTTATAATAAATTGTTCTTCCAATTTCCTCCAGTGTTTTTGGTATTACATTTTTACTTCGTTTATTGTGGCGCGTTACATATCTTAAACTGAATTAAAATTGCCAAAAGCTACTTGAGCATGTTTATTTTATCATTGATAAATTTGCATTCCTGGAAGAAAGTTTTTCTAAAAAAAAAAATCTGTATTAAACTTTCAAATGTATTGTGATTCCAACTAGGCTTAATGCATGATATTTCAAATGCAGTAATGCTTGTTTGTATGTTGTTTTACGGGACGTAAATGTTAATGTTTCTCTCATATAGACACAACACCATATACCGGTGAAGGGGTTCATATTTAAACCTTTACTAGGCACTCAGGACCTGTGACCAATGAGGGATCTTTGTATGCCTGCTGTGACACGAGGCCTCTGTTTTTTTAGGTCTCGTTCAAAGGACTCGCAACTTTCACTTCAAAGTGCCGAGCGCTTGGCGCAGGAACAGTTTCTACCATTTTTTTTAATCAACTCAGATTAGTCGAGTTGGATTTTTTTACGAATCACGGAGTGAGCTCTCTACCACTAAGCTACCATGAACTAGAACATAATGGTAAAGCTTTGCTAGTATATCCATGACAAATTGTAGCCATCTGTTATTAGAATGACATGTCTCTTGCTCATTGCCTTGTAAAATCATGTGACCCAACCTATAATTATCAAAATGCTTCGTTTTTTACACCAAAATTTAAGATTTTTTAAATTTTTAAATAAATTCTGATAGATTTTCATTTAAACAATCTGCCTTACTATCACATTTAGTTCTCTATGGTCAAAATCTGGAAAAATCTTAAATTTTGACCAAATGAAACACACTTGTCTTACATTGTTTTACACTGTCCATTTGTTCCTTTATATAATTAAAAGCCTTTGAAAATAATATTATATTTTTTGTATAATTTAACTATTTCTTATTAAAAGTGACAGAATTCTTCTATTTTAGGAAACCCCGATAAACAAAGAGGATGTCGACCATGTAGTTAATCAATATTATTGTTCTCAAACCAAAGAGGATGTCGACCAAGTAGTTAATCAATATTATTGTTCTTTAATCGAAATTGTCCACAAAAGGGTAAACAATAAAAGTTAATGATGAACACCAGGTGAACAAAAAACTTGTGACCAGGAGAGCTAGTTAGAATTTTGTTCAGAAAAACTAAAGAAATCAACTCCATGTATGTAGTTCAGTAAGTAATATGTTTAAAGGTATAGAAAGATCTGTGAAATGATAAAGGCGAATAAAAATTATCATAATTTCAAATTCATTTTTTTGCTTTGTATGTAATTCGAGGAGTTTGTTTTAAACCTAAAGAATAATAAATGTAAATCTTGCTTTATAAATCTTACAATTTAATTGTACCTTTTAAAGAATCATTGGCGATGATTGGTATAACGTTAAGTACGTTATAGCTGGCCAAAATCCTGAAGGATACTCCCGCGTCAGCAAACATCACGAGGATTTCTCTACTGGTAGCGTTTATAGAGGTCTTATGCAAATTAAGAACTGACACACCTTCAACATATTTCAAAAATATCATTAACTTTATCATACTTAATTATGAGATAACGTTTGAAACATTGTTCAGCCTAATTTTCATTTTCAGAATAAAACTTGCTCATGTGTGTTTATAGTATAATTATCAGATTAAGTCATGTTATTTTCTAGTTCATCATTCTTAATATAATTAATAAACTGTGATTTAAAAAAAATTGTACACTCTATATGTTAATATAACTTTTGTTATGATAGGTATTTGATAGGTATTTTATGACTGATATCAATGAAAGATAAACATATCAACTTGTCAGTCAAATACATGCCATTACAACAGTTAACAATAAAGGATAGCGATAAATAATTTATCTGTTGACAGGTATTTTTTTTTTTATACTTTTCAGATGGCGTGTTTATTTTTTGATAAAAAGAGTAAAGGGTAAAATGATAAATGTTTGCATTGACATACCATTGTAACGTAACCATGATACGTCACTGAAGTCCTGTATTTGTCCATTGATGAGGACATCTGCCACTCTGATAGAATTCAGAATAATTTCTACTTTATCTGTTGTATTAGACACATGAGCAACAAACGATGTACAAATGCTAGCATCAACGACAGCACCTAAAATATGTTCACGTTTAAAATTATAGTAACTAGAATATTGTGCAGTAACTGTTTGAAAAAAGAAAGGATTTATAACTTTAAAACTGTAATTTTACCATTACTACGCTTTGCCTGTTCAAATCTAATTTGGCTCTCAAATGACATATTCCTGGAAACAATGAAATGAAACTCTCCAAGTCCGTTGAAGTTATATCCAAATCCATCTAACGTCTTCAAGTGGGGATCACCATTTGCACCAGCTAGAAAAAAGTCAGTACATGTGTACCTAATTTCATTTTTTCTTATCAATGTATGTAAGAAAAAAGATGTATGCTGAAAATCGTGTTTACTGACTTAACTTAGTTTTGCTTGCTGCTCTGAGAAGACTCGGAAATATTTCCATAAATACTAAATATAACATTAAAATCGATAAAAAAAGAACTGGGGACAATTTTTTATTGGCAAGTTAGTTGTCAAGCACTCCTGCGTTGTGTAATTCCAAGTTTGTTCAAATGAATGTCAAGGCAAGGAGAAATGATATTGTAAAACATATAGAGAAAAATCTTTCAAACTAAGAAACACTGTTAAGATAATTAAGATTAAAATCATTGAGACAATTAAAGTTGAATTTATGGCCAAATATTTATTTATTTAAATAATTGTCAGCTAGGGTAATTTGGTGATTTGAATTAAGTGATTCTTGAGCCTACAGACCTAGATAAATAGGACTTGCTACTTCTCTATTTTATTTTTTCTAGCAGACACATTCCTTTTTATAAAAACTTGAATCCTTTTTTAATGGAACAGACTGAAACCCCCATGCAAAGAAACATACATGTATATGTAAACATACGACAGACAAACTTTTACAAGTCTCTGGCTTATGTGAACTAGAAGTACCTGGGCGTGGTGGTATGTAGTTGTAACAGGAACTAACTTTTCTAAAATTTAAATAATCCTGGCATTCGGAGTAAAGATATTTTCCACCCTGTCCAGCATCTGAACTGGTGCCATAGTATCTACAGCAGTGTAGAAAGGGGAGCACATCGTAGTAGAAGTTAGTAATATAGGGGATGTTTCTCCCTCCTCCTAAATAATGGTATCGTTGTAGAGTACCACCTTCCTTTACACGGGTGTCAATAAGATTGCCACTGAAGTCGTAGCAACAAACGTTGTCATTGTCTAATGGTCTACAAAAATATGCTTATTAGAGAAATGTCATATGCATCAACTTAATTAATCTTTAAACGTATTAAAAGTTTTAAAAAGTAAATATAAACGTACCCAGGCATACTGAGTCTAACACAGTGCTGGGCATCTGCTCTGTTCAGACAATTGAAGTTCTCATCCCTGATCTTTGTTACCATATTACAGTCGGGATCGGGCTGATACCGTGCCGTGTCCATCAGAGCCTGCTGTAGTGTGCAAGGACAGGGTGGAATGTTTTGTGAAGATACTCTAGAAAGGTGATACTCTTGTCTCACCCAGTCTTGACAGAACCGCCTTGATTTTTGGTGTTGTGGAACGACTGCAAAGATCTCTGACCAAATACCTCTTTCTAATCTGGAGGGAAAATGATGACTGATGAATCAGTGGTATTTAATCTTATGATCAGGTAGAACACACATATTTAAAAAGTAAAATGTGTTTACCAAATTATATGTTGTCTTATAAGATGAAAAATATGTGCTACTGATTGATACCAACTCGTGGGACATGTATTAATGACGATGCTCATATTGGTGTAAAATGTCAGTATAAAAGAAGAAATATCACTATATTATATAATTACAAGTTAGTATCTGTTTCTATGGCGGAAGTGACACGGATTGCTGCCATATATCCATCTGTCTGAAGTCGAATGGTGTATGTTCCAAGAGTTCTCACTATGTTATCATGCAACATGGATTTCTCCCACACAAGCTGATTGTAAGACTGTTCCTAAGAATCAATCACAATCAAAATGTGATCAAAGTAATGTTCATATAATTCATCATTTTATATAAAAATGTATAATTTTATATATATATATATATATATATATATATATATATATATATATATATATATATATATATATATATATATATATATATATATATATATATATATATATATATATATATATGTCCTAATTACCTTCATCGTAAATAAATGTATGTGAACTCGTTCTGAATCCCTTAATTCAAAAGCCTGAGGTTCCCAGGAAATTATGTACCGGTTTCCATTGATCCAGTTTTGAGGTAGGTGTCTTTTTACAGGATTCTTAAACACAGCTGGATTTACTAAGAAACACAAAACATATACACTGTATATGAATAATGGATCGTATGTGTGTAAAGTGTTTTCTTATGTAAGAAAGTAAAATAGTTTGCCTACGTACAGCATATGAATTTTACAAAATACTATATATGGATGAAAGCTTAAAACGCTTAGATGAATTACATACATGCAGCTATTTGCTCTATGTACTGTGAAAAATTGAAATGCTTAGATGAAATACTTAAATACCGCTAATTCTTCCAAAGTTAATGATCAGAATGAAAAAAAAATCTTATGTAGATTTACTACCTCTCATTTATTTTACGTAAAAATAGACAATATCATAAAAGCTGAAAAAGCTTATGTCTGTTTGCTAAAGCTTGTATATACAAACGGTAGAAAAATAACCATATCATATGTAAGAAAAAAAATGAATGCAATCGAACCACATAATACACATACATGAACATTCAACGTGGCCTTCAATTCAACATTTAGATATAACGACGACGTTTTATGAATTAACAATATTCATTTTCATTCCTACGTTCATTCGATATATCTCTTTGAGCTCTAAATAATGGATATCACACAGTCAGACACTCTGTTTCGTATTTGGATAGAAAAAAGGTGTTTATGGTAACCTAACAACAAAACTTCATGATAAACGTAATGACTTCAACTTCTCTATCGCGAACCCTTATTTATGTAGCAACATACCATTATCACCTGCATATAGAGTTCATGTCTCCCAGTTGATTCGATATACAAGGGCATGCTCTATGTACGAACAATTTTTAAAACGAGGCAAGCTTTTGACAAATAAGTTGAGGAAACAAGAATATCAACAGTCTCGTTTAAAGTCAGCAATTTGCAAACTCTATGGTCGATACAATGACCTTGTTAGCAAATACAATCTATTGTTAAGTCAAATGTTGACTAAAGATTTTCATACAAATTGTTAGGCCATTATTTTCACACTAAATTGTCTACAAATTTTATTCTTCGCCCGATCATGACAAGGAGCACACGATGGATGTGATCGGTCGACAGGGGATGACTACCCTTCCTGGCACTTGATCCCACCTTTGATAATTTTAGAAGTCCTATTTGTTCTGTGCAATATCGTATTGCTTCAGTGGACTTTTGAGATTGATAACTGTTCGTTATTTATATAATTTTATACATGATTTTAAAATGCTGAAGTGTTTTCTATCCATGTACGAATTTTCCTTTTTTTTAAAAAGTGAAACTAAGTTTTAAAATGCATTCTACTCTTGAAAGTAGGCCTGTTTAACAAAACAGAATTAAAATCACGGTTTGCTTCCTTCTTTCAAAATGGAATATCTTTCCTTTCCTCTTGTGTGAAATAGCAAATTAGACTTAAGTAGGCTTATTTCTTAGCAATATATGTACCTATCGTGTAGATTCCTGTATGACGTTGTGTATCTCCTTTGTTGTCTCTAATAATGACGCTGACTGTGATGTCACCGGTCAAGTTAAATGTTGGAGTGATACAGATCGCACTGTAATTTGATTTTCGTTGGCAAAGAAATAACTCCAGCATCTGAGAGTACTTTATCTGAATGACGTCATCAGGGTTCAGACACGGACCACTTATCACTAGATATTGTCCTCCAAGCATAGGGCCATGACGTGGTGAAATCATTAGTCTTCCTTTATATTCATGAAAAATATACAAGAAGAAATTTATTACATTTTCAACACTGAAAAAATTGTAATTTATCTATTGAATAAAAAATATATTTTGTCACAGTGTGAAAGAATATCGAAGTGATATTTTGTCACAGTAAGACTAAAAGTGGAAAAAATGTTTCAAATAGGTTGTTGAAACCAATATTTACAATGTTTACAATCTAATGACGTCTCATCCGCTCAACTTAGACGTCACAACCTATGGCAAAGTGTTACGAAAAGACAGAGTCAAAGGAAAAATAAAAGAAATCACAATTAAAAAAGAAAATTCAATATTTTGTAGCATTTTACACTCGTCAGACAGGTTTTTCAAAATAATATTTTTAATAGTGCTAGTATATGGTGGGGTTAGGTTTAATACTAGTACTGTCAAAATTATGATAAGAATATATTTATCTTTTTCACTTTAGTTACAGTTGTAATGATTTTTTGATACTTGAATATCCATTGAATAAAGGTGATATTTGGAAATGATATTTTTCACAGAAATAGATGTCACATTGATAAGTTTTAGCAGGGAAAATATCAAAAGTATGGCAAATTTCTCAATTTTTCTTCCCTTCACGAAGAATGCTATAGAAAACAACGTTTTAAGACAGTGGGAGTAAATAAAACATCCCGACACGAACGATCTCTAAATAGTTATTAAAACCCATGTTTACAAATTTCAATCGCAACATCTCTTAGCTTTGATGACGTCTCACAAATGCTCAAATATGACGTCACAGTCTGCAACTTTGCGTTACGAAAAGACAGAGAAAAGAAAATCTTACATGTATGAACAGAAACAATATACATATATATTTTTCGGCAGCTGAAAATTGCAACATTCTAGAAAATATATACAGTGGCGCGTCATTAAGCTGGACGCCTCCGTCACCAACACAATCGTCCGGATAAATGATTCCTAAGTAAATCACTCCTTAACAAACCCTCCCAAAGCATGTCCTTATTATATAGTGGTATTATATGTGAAGCAAAGAAAACTAACTTTACTACGTATGTTCAGTAAAAAACTGAAAAAAATAAGGCCGCACGATTGAAATAATTAAACGCGTTCATCTTAAATTTTTGAAATATATTTTTAATTTGAAAATCCTAGCTATATGGTTTATGGAGAAACAGGTCGCTTCCCTTTGTATGTAACGGTGTATATATAGAGGATATTCAATGTTTTGTAGATGAATATGGAATTTATTTCACGAGTGGGACAGGATTTTTTCATATTTTCACGAGTGCGAAGCACGAGTGAAAATATCAAAAAATCCTGTCTCACGAGAAAAATAAATTCCATATTCATCTACATAACAATGAATTTTCTGTTTATTACATTTTCTTTGATTTTCCCTTTGCCTCTGTCTTTTCTTAACAAAGTGTCAAAGGCTTGACGTCATAGTTGAGCGGTTGAGACGTCACAGCTTAGGAGTTGTGAGATTGAAAACATTACATACATGGCTTTTAGCAACATCTTTGGGAAGAAATTTGCAGTTTTAGCTCTATCAGATTACTATGACTATCTTATGACAGTCCAGAAATTATTTTTATTTACTTTGATATCCTTTCACACTGTGAGAGAATATCATTTTGGTATCCTTTCACACTGTGAGAGAATATCACTTTTATTCAATAAATAAATCATAGTATTTCACTGTTGAAAATGTAATAAAAGAATGATATCCCATTGGGAAAAATTACTGGCAAGCCCTGAAAATAAGATTGTTTATGTTATATAAAAGCATCTTTGAACAGTTTTGTTCAGGAAGTCATAAGAACCCCTGAATTTCGTGTGTTAAGAATATACTTGATATTTGTGGCTTCTTAAACGTCTGGAATGAACACGCCTTTGTAAATAATAAATGGTTAAATGTCTAGTAGAACAGCGTTGTGGATCACTACGTACAAAAATGGCAAAGTGATTTATCCAAAGGCCACACAAGTCCAAAGGCCATATGTCTGGTAGCTTCAAAACAGAATTTGGATTTGAAAAATATTTTTAAAAATATACTACCAGTACCTAAGAAATATAGAACAATTCTAATTAAATTAAGGACTGCAAATCACCGACTCCCAGTTGAGACTGGGAGATGGTGTGGAATTCAAAAAAATGATGGACTTTGTAGTATCTGTAATAATGGACAAATAGCGGATGAGTATCACTATGTTTTAGAATGTCAATTTTTTTCAGAATGCAGAAAAAAGTATCTACTTAGTAAATTTTGTATCATACAAAATTTTTTTTATTATATAAATTCTTAATTATTGTCAACTGCTGATTCCAAGGTATTTATTAAATTGTGCAGTTACATGGATAGAGTACATGAACAAGTCTGTCCTTCATAATTATTTATGTTGTTTCTTTTAAATGTTCAGCATATTCATGCAAATGTTCAAATATAAACTAACCGCGTATATTCATTACATAGGACCGGTATAACTGAACTCTGCAAGCTAAGTATACGCAAACACACGCAACCAGTGCAAGTATTGTAAACATTCAACGTAAATACAAGCAATTTTCATTATTATCTTTTTTTTAAAAAAGACTAAGTTTAAATTTGGATTTAAAAATAAATCAGACCAACACGGTAGCATTTTGAAAATATTTCCAGGCAATTTTTATTTTTAGTAACCATGGGAACACCGTTCATCGAAATCAAAAACCGATACACAGAATTATGTATCTTAGTGTAGTCTACTTGTGTGTCAAGTAATATAGAAATCAGACCAAAACTGTAGGAGGAGTAGCATTTTGAAAAATTGTTTACAGACAGACAGACAGCTAGACAGATGGACACCTTACTATTACATAAGCTCTTCTGGTCTTCGACCTTTAGAGCTAAAATCGGTTCCCATAAATATCGTCCGGAAGGTGCAGCATACGAATTAATGGCGTCCGGATGAAAGCAGCGCTATTGAAATATCTACGTAACCTTAATGTAATTTTTTGCAACCGTAAACCCCATTTAACATTTATATATTTATATCTGTCATCGTAGTATTGATATACACGTGACGTGGGTGCAACGTATAAAAATATTGTATTATCGATTTGTATATGTTACACTTTGTTCATATTTATAGCTGCAGATGACTTACATAACAAGATCTAACTATTTCAGAAGTAAGTTGTTTAATGCTTCATTTAAACGGCAATAAGGGTTTCATAAACAATAAAGAAAATACATTCAGTACTGAGTAGATGTAAATATTTCTTTTCAGATTAAGGCCTGGTATTGTCACGAACAGACAGGTAATCATTGAATCTTTGACACATCATCATGATTCCAAAGTTCAATCTAATCAAGGATGATGTCTAACTTGTGATTCAGATTCATGGAAATGAAGAACTTGAGGGTACATGTACAAGGGTGATTTATCTATCTTACTGTGAAATATCATTTATCTTATCTCAATTGATACATGTACATTCTACTGTAAATTATCTGTAAAGTAACTATTTTTTGTGGCCGTTTTTAAATGCAATACATTGCACGTCTTTAAAGGGGATATTGTTTATTATATTTAAATCTATTCCTACTCATATACCATAATTGACATTTAAAACATTTAAAAAAAAACATAGAATATCTTTAAAAAAAAAAACAACAAATATTTTTGATATTGACAAATTATTAAATAATTTTCTAGCCTAAATTTACATCGGCCGAACAATATGACGTTTAAAATATACCTCTGATTTTATTTGTACTGCGACTACATTTCTTAGATAAAATCAAGCAGTGACAGTATAATATCATAAATGATTCATTTACTCGTCAATTGTTCTGGTTTCATCAATTTTCCTCAACACCATCATCTGTTGTTTTATTAGTTGAGCCAAACCATATGAAATTGGGTGTTCAACGAAGTAGAATGTTTACATAAACCATGTATTTTTGTCACTTATACAAAATTGAATCCCATAAAACTACTAAAATCACAGTACCTTGTGTGTTACAGCCACCGTTTCCAATCTCTGCAGCATCAATACGAAAGGCGAATTTTCCCGGAACTCCGATATTTGACATGTGATTAACGTTGATGATGTCTGCGGTTCTAGAAGCATTTACGACATAAAAGACTTTACCATCCCCCGCATTAAATCCAACCTAAATGATTTCATAAAAGAACAAGGTTTACAAAAGATCAAGGATATCGTCAAGTCGAATTGATTTGTAAGCATCTCACACAGTGACTGTGTAGTTTCAAATTTGTTTCTTTAAATTATGATTCATGGATTTTGATGGGCCAAAGGCAGTCTTTTTTGAATGGAAAATATAGACTCTCATAACATGGATAGTAATACCGTATAAGCAGAATTTTTAGCGATAATTCAATTTTGGCATTATTAGCGAGGGTTCTGAGAGCCCTAAAATTAAATATCGCTAACAATTTATTCCATATCGTTTGTTACAGCTATCTCTTTTGATATTAAAAAAATCGCTAAAATTACTTCTCGCTAAAAATATATGTCAATATTTTAGGATAAATCACTAAATTTGCGTCTCGCTAAAATTTCTACTTATACAGTATTATAATTACCTGAGCAGGTATTCCTCCAAGGCCAGTATTCGCATCTCCATTGCTAGCCGTTCCCGTTGTCCATTGAATTTGTTCGTAATTAAAAATAGTGAAAGAGTGCTGACCATTGGTAATTAGGATCTCTTGAAATGTATTTCTCTGCAATGTAAATATTAAAGCATAATAAGCACTAGCTAAAGCACTATCTAAATCATTTTTATCCAGAGAGAGAGAGAGGGGGGGAGAGTTAGAGAGAGAGAGAAGTTTACCTTCCAGCAGGGAGAACATCCATAGAATGCAACATTATCCCAGGTAGCAATGAAGACCCAAGTGGCTTGAAAACGGAAGAACTGTGGGAAATATTTCCTGACTTCGTTTGTTGCTCTGTTCAGTATTGTTTGGTTGGTTGACTCTCGATACCACACAGTTCCTCCTTCTCGTGTGTCGACATCAGCCCAGAAAATTGCAACCAGTCTTCTGTCACCATCTAGTGGGAATGGATTCGGGGTATATGTGGAAACAGTTCTTAGGAAAGAGATCACTCCATTTGTGTTGACCTAAACGGTGGGTGTTTAGAATACTTAAAGTGTATGTCTAGAATGAAAAGTGAATGAATCGAATCCACTTAATTACAATAATATACCTGCATGCTGGACATGCATAAATTGCTTTGACTGACGTTGTAGGTATGTGTGTTTGGCTTCGAAAGATCACAGTTTAATACAAATGGTTAGAACTTTCTATGCCGATATTTTATCTCTATGAAAGGATTTTAACAGTTATTTACACTATACTTGTAAAATGGCCGTCACAGGCACTTTTAAGTTCCAAATCAAGCTATAGGTCGTAGCCTTGATGGTCGTAACGAGCATATACCCTTTCGGTGTGAGTTACCTCTTTGTCATAAAGAATTCCTCATAATGCTCTGATACAAATTCATTGACCAAAAACGAAAAAAAAATTCAAGTCACATTTACCTGGTAAAAAGAGGAGCTTGAATCAATAAATTCATCTTACTGTTGGTCATCTTTTTGTAAATATTAAACTTCCGCTCCTCTTACATTAATTAATTTCAAAACTTCAGACGAGAGCACAATAATAAACATTATAATCGTGAAAACAGTTTGCTTGCTTGGTATCCTGGAGTAAAGAAGATTTTCGAAGAAATAATGTATTTTTTTCATGCATGACAAAACTACTTTACACCAGAATTTTCATACATTTTCACAATTTGTATAAGAAAGTAGTCAGTGAGTCTCAGGACACAAACAGGGCCAATGGCGATTTGAATCTAAAGTTTCAACTTGCGTAATTGAGCCTGTCTATCGAAACACCTAAATGCACTTCAAAATAAAATAATCTATAAGTTTCTTGTTTTTCCTGTTTTTTATCTAATCTTTTTTATGTTTTTCGATTTTTGGACTGCTGAAAGATATAAATGAAAGGATAAAATTTTTGCATCTAACAAATATATGCTTAATGAAAAGACATACATTGGATACGCCGTCTTAATGTATCGATATTATATTCTTCCAATTCATAATTTAAATGCTTTTGATTTAGTTTCTTTGTGAATTCTCTGTATATGATTAAAATCCATTAAGTACTCACAATCAAGTGGTCGTGCTGATGGTTAAAGAATGGGAACCGAGTTGAGATGTGGATTTCTGTGGAACTACCGTCATCGTTTTTACTGACTGTGCTGTCTCCAGCATATAATCCAAAAGGATAAAATTCAACGATTCCCAAACATCCAGGTACAATATACAAAGCTAAGGTAATAATCTGCATTTCTGTGTGGTTGATAGAGCTTACATGGATTAGTCTGTGTACAACAGACAAGAGCGTTTTATGAATCACCTGAGTAGATAAGATTACAACAGAATACTCAATGTTTAGTTTTAGCTCTCTTTATTTACTATTTTCAACTATAAATTCAACAGCTTAATGCGTAATAAAATATTAATTGATGTTGATATCATCTGTGTGCAACGGGAAACACCATTTGTGAATTTTATAATGTCAAAATTTAAAAATCTAAAGAATGTTCTTTAATCCCGGACAACTAGACAACTAGTAGGAAAACTGTTTCATAAATTATAATGATCATTAAGCTTTGTTTAATAAATGGTAATACTTTCTCCCTTTGAACAACATTCAGATACCGAGTTATGACTTATTTCGCTATTTGGAAGTGTCTTTTTAATTTTTCTTTTTCTATTTTATATCTTGCAATCAATGTGGATTGTAACTGTAATGTTAGAATGTAAAGCAAATAAGAGATCCAAACATTCAAAAATATTTTCATTCCTGACCGTTTTCTCGATGATAAACACTTTGAAAGCCCAGTTTGTTGATTTATTGATAATTACAATTGATTGTAAATTTCGTATTTGAAATGCTAGTTAAAGGTTAAAAACAATTTGCATGTAAATGAATGTGAAACACGTACTTTCGACGACTAGATCTAGGTTATGTCTTTCATCAGAGCCAATCAAATGATTTTGATCATATTAATATAAAAACTCCTTTTGTTCTTCATTCAATTTAATGCTGATAATTAATCAAAGAAATGAACAATCACTAAATGTGTTCCCTTATTTTTATCGGACGTTTTTTATAGTAAAATTCAACGTCAGTGGACGGGGCTGTGGAAATTAAGATGGAATGGTGTATTTC